TCAACAAAAGCTCCAGTATTTGATGACTTTTAATTTGTTTTTGTTAAATCTAAATATACCAAATCCTTTGCAATTTCTTTATTGCGCTGAAGAAGAGTCAGACTATAACTGCAAAATGGTACACTAAAGAGTGCTTAGCAAAAGTTTTCAAATATTTGTTGGAAAACAGTAAGAAAGAGGACTTGCGGCGCTGCTTTCTACATAATGACAGCGCGCCATCCCACACTGCTGAAATACCGAGTAGTTTTATTATGTTCTCTGGGATCCTCGTCCATCAACATATTCCCCGGATTTGGTACCTTGTGATTTCTGGTTATTTCTAAAAATGAAAAAAGAAATAAAAGGAAATGTTTTTAATAGCAACGAGGAGATAATTAATGCGGTTAATGCTGAACTTGATAAGCTTAAGGTGCAAGACTGCTCTCAGGAGTGGATCTAATCCTATATAAGATAGACATTGAAATCAATGACGATTATGTAGAGAAGATAAAAAGGACAGAGATTTTAAATATAAATACAAAAGGATTTTTTTCTTGCCAACTTTCACTATTTCCAAAAAAATATATGGTCTGAAACAGTTTCATAAAAAGCCCAAAAACAATTCAACAGAACAATGACCTGGAAAAGCATCTAGGAATTACGGAACCTTTGCCGTGCGAATGAAATTTTCCAATAATAAAAAGGGCGTTGCCTTAAAATATGTGTTGATAAATTCTTCGCAAAAACAACTACATCGCGCCAAGTTTACAGCTACAGAATATCTGAGCACCTGATCGTGGATATATAGGCAAAACGGAAAAGTCATGCTGTGGGCATCCCAAGTTCGAATCCAATTCGAACAAAGGTGTCTGAAAAAAGAAGTCTGATGAGGAAACGTGGTGATTTCCGAAATATCAGTTATAACTTCTACCGTCCAAAACTATTGTTGTAAATTTTTCACTATTTCTAAAAAATATATGGTCTGAAACAGTTTCATAAAAAACCCAAAAATAATTCAACCGAACTTTTCTTAATCCCCTCGCATATATATATGTATATATATATATTTATTTATATATTAAATATTCAAATTAAAGCTATTCGTAGTGAAAGAAGCTTCATTGGAAAATTTCAATACTTTTTTTTGTAACATGATTTATCTAGCTAAAAGTTTGGCAAATTTTTCTTCGCAGAAGTTGTAAATTTTCTATATACACATACATACATACTTACTATATGAGCATTTTTACTTCTAAATAATTGGCTATCCCATATTCAAATTTCTCAAAAATTAACTTTTCTTTGCATTAATTAATAAAGTATTGTTTTTTTTTTTTTCTTTTATTTGCAGGTAAGCATTTATTCGCATAAACTTACATCATCAATGACCGCACAACAATGCCTCTGCACCTCCGGCTTGGTTCATTCTTCGCGCCTCTTAGAGCTCTTTACTTGTTTCATAATTACCAACAACTTCCCTGTTATTCAACTCGACGACGCAAAAGAGCTTTTGATTGAATGTGTCATATTTTGACGGCGCTTACAACTGTCACACAGCCATGTCAAGGTGACGACACCTAATGGATCGGCTTGTGACAACAGCAACATGCAAACACACACATGCACACCTATAAACATACAGCGTATGGCGTATTGGCGCGCTTGGAGGGCTTGACCGAGCGGCTATTCATTTTTTGTTATGGACTTGTGACATTTACTAAGGAAGAAGGCGAAAGAGAAGAAAAACTCATTAAAATTATGTCTGCTCCTCAACACTCGCCTATTATAGTGCTAAGGTACAGTTCATTAACCAACGGTCGCCAACCAAAGAGCTTGTTGTCATGCCCAATGTCTTTTAATTGAATAAGCAATAATTTTTACCTTTTATATTTTCTTTACGGGAAGGCGACTTCTGTGTGATGTAGGTTTGCACAAAATACCTCAACCCCAAGTAGCATATCAGTTTTTTTCTGCTTGTATACGGCGCTATAACTTTGGTGCCTCCTTCTTGCAGTTAAATTTCATTTGGTGTTTTGTACAATGTTTCGGTGATGAGCTTTCTGTTGACATCGTTTTTTTATTAATAATAAACATTTAATTACTCCAAACTACTTTCACTTGACTGACTACGTTGTGAATAAGTAAGAATCCATATTTTTTAATTTTTTGTTCATGATTTTTTTTTCGAAGATTAACATTGACAAATATTTGAAAAGGAAAAACATATGTGTTGAAGAAATTAACACTGAAATTAACTAATTATGCATATTTTTATTCTGTGGCATATGAACTACCATACATACTCGTACACCAGTATCCCCTTAGCGGAAGCCAAACAGCTACAGCTCTGTCGCTTAGCGGCTCCAACAAATGTATCATTTCCCTTGCATACCTTTAGGCTATGCTACAAAATGGATTTTAAAAGCTCTCAACATTAAGTTTTCGTGTAAATAACAGAAATTACCAACCACTTCCATGGGAGTGAAATTTTATTTGTTATTCATTTTTTTTTTAAGTTTTTTAATTAAAAATAAAAATAAGTAAATATTCATGGGATAATTTCTTTAAAATGGTTTAAGAAATAAGAAAGTTTAAGTAACTCCAGAGCAAAAAATAATGAAGTCTAAAGCCGTCAAAAAAAGTTTTTTCTAAGGTTCCCTTCAAAACCAGGTTATTCATATGATGTTGATTATTGCTTCTTTTTGTTATTTGTTTTTATTCTGCACTCTTTCCTTCTTCTTAATTGGTGTTTATAGCTTCGAGTCAACGATAGTGTGCCTTTTGTTTCTCCTCGTTGTTCTTCAGCGCCAATAAAAAATACCCAGCGAAGTCAGATCCTCCCTACAGTTCATTGTTTCATTGTCGTGGCCACAGAGGGAGTTTATTTTTCAATTGCCTAACCCATCCAAGGTAGAGCCTTTTGGAAAACTTAAATTGACTTCCCATTTCAATGCTAACATTGTTATTATTTCCTTTATTGAACGACTTCTATTGGCACGGTGAGAGCCAAGACGCGTACTGATTGGTGGTTTGATAACAGGAGCTATTTTCTCTTGTCCTCGCTCACTGGCTTAACCATTCGCCTCGCATCATTATACTGTGAGTAGAAATCAGAACTTACGGCGTGCGGTTATTTAGGCCAATGCTATCAGTTTTATCGCCACGCTCCAGTAGTTGTACGCTCTTGTAATACATTGTATTTTCTCTGTTTAATTCTGCTGCTCGTATTAATTTGCCCAGCATTAATTTTACACGATAAAGAGTCGTTCTGTCTGTCACCATTCAAGCTACGTCCCAGTCGATTCAATTCTGAATTTGGGCTACCGCCTCTGGCTGTTTCACATTCGCTGCACTAAAGAAGAATTCTTTCATAACCTCATAGGTCTCTCTCTTTGGGTCTTACATGATTATGTTCCTGTCTTGAAACCTTCAGTTATTCGCTGCATTTTTTCAAGGAATTTTCGAGCATTACGACTGTCGTCTGGCTTCTCAATCTATTTATAATCATGCGTTGTTATGGTCGATCGCAACATTCCTTATGATAACAGCTCTGTTCTTGTTCGGCGCTGTCGAAAACCAATTGTTCTAGCGGAGGGACTCTTATATTGAACTGTTGATGAGTGCTCTCAGAAAGGAGGTCGTGGGTCATGGCCGCATTCCTCTTTACAAACACCTACCTTCTTTGTTCTGTTCATCGCGCTTCTTGGACGATGATGTTAGCCTCCAATCTTACGACGGCATCAACCAGCTGGCCAGCACCACCTTACCAGTTAAGGGATCAGACAACCGAGGGCATGTCAAAACCCTGATTCTTCATTACAAAAGTCGTTATCAAAAAGGGGTCTCTCGACCAAATCCTATTGTTGCGTTTTCGCTAGAATATATGTATATTTTATATGTGGTGGGTCCCAAACCCCACGCACAACTGCAAGGGGATTCTTTCTCTTACTTTAACTCACTTTAGTGCCATCTCTCACCACCAGCCGTTCTGTCTCAAGCTCAGAGCTCATTGCTCTGAATTATACAACCAGACCGAGACGAATTGTCAGTGAGGCCCAGCACTGCTCGAGCGATTCACTAGGAGACGAAACCAGAAAAGCCAAAAGCTTTAAACGACTGAGGATGCATTAAGCTATTGAATAGGCTTATTGTGTTCTACTCTGCATTTGCGCACAGTTAGCTCGATTGTACAAATTGTTTTAATTTCTCCAGCATCATCCATACATTCACAATAAATAAATTCCATACGGCTAGCGTTTGTGAAATCCCGTAGATAATTTTCCGTTTTCGTTTTCATCGGCTAAAGGTCGGGCACTCGCAGAGGTAATGCTCCAGCCTTTCGTCCTCGCTTGCACACGCTCTGCATTTCTTATTTATCTTACCTTTTTATCTTTTGGAGATAATATGTAAGAGGTAGATAGATTTCACGTCAGCATACCCAAAGAGTACTAAATTATATCTTGCAATCAACGCAGCTCAGCAGAAATTGGGTGGTAAGCCCTGCGCTGGAGTTGTACCTTAATGATTCATCTATGTTTCACTGTTTTATGTAGGCCTGAGGCAGTCGACTGTGGCAGCCTCCCTAGCGAGAGCCACCTTGGATCCAGATTTTGTTTAACCTTCCCGCAAACCCCTCATGATCTTTTATGTGATGTTTGGTAAGACCGTCGAGTCTTCATTTAGAAAGGGGAAAAGTCTTTTATAGAAAATAAACGAAAAATTTTATCTTACACTGGTAATTTTATTTACAACCTTTGTTAATAAATAAATAAAAATATTGCTCTTAAAAGTCTTAACGAAGCTAAAAAGGCAGCGATGAATTGGTAATGAAAGTAATAATGATATGAAATTGGTATTGATTCTGTACATACTCGACATACTCATACATATATTCATAAAAAAATTTACAAATATAAGCAGCCTCGAAACGATTTCGCAAATTAATTTTTAAAGTAAATTTATGCCGAAACGAACAATATAAAAATAAATAAAATTAGAAGAAAAAAAATAGAAGAAAAACTGACTAGTCATATACATAAATAGCTTGCGAAAGCATTAGCGAAACTCTCAGAAAATGTTAATTTGAAATAACCACGCATAGGAGCTACGCTGACTCGCCTGTGCTGACTGGCTCGCCTATGTCACACCTCAGCCATGGTGATGTGCCGGTCGCGCACCCCAATCCTCTTTGATGAGATCTGCCGCCTTCTCGCCAATCATAATGACCGGCGCGTTCGGATTGCCATTCATAATGGTTGGCATTATGCTGGCGTCCGCGACGCGTATACCGGATACGCCGTAAACACGCAAGCGTGAATCCACCACTGCGGTCACATCCCAACTGGGACCCATTTTGCAAGTGCCCACCGGGTGGTATATGGTAAAAGTGAACTGTTTGATGGCACAACCCCAATAGGCGTCTGACATGAACTCGTGATGCCGACAGCCGGGCAATGGTATGTTATGTGGACGCGAGCCGAAACGCTGAAAAGCTTGTGTGTTGGACACATTTATGGCCAGTTTGATGCCCTCGACGAGCACATCAATGTCTTCCTGATGCGCAAAGTAGTTGGGTATAAGTTTTGGTTGCTGCAGTGGGTTGCGTGAGTTGAGACGCACCCAACCCGTGCTTTTGGGACGCAGCAAAAGCGGCAAGATAGACCAGGTTTCAGAGTTGTGTAGCGGTTTGTAGACGGTGTTGTAGAAACCGTCGCGTAGATTTAGAATTTTACGTATTTGCTCGCCACCGTCCGAGTTGATGGAGCTGGGAAGGAAGTGAAACTGTATGTCGGGCCAGTCGACAGCGGCATCTTGGTATTTCGAGTTGAGAAAAGCGACGCCTTCTACGCCAGAGAAAGTCATGGGACCACGTTCGCGTAGAATATACTCCATAGCCACGGGTATGGTTTGAAAGCGTGTGCGTGTTACGGTCAAGGGCGCATCAACCACGAAAGTCAGGCCACCTAAACCCACATGATCTTGTAAATTATCGCCCACAGGCAAGTCGGATAACACTTTTATGCCGTGTTCTTGCAAGTGCTCAGCCGGTCCGATGCCCGACAGCATCAAAAGTTGTGGCGAGTTCAGAGCACCCGCGGAGAGTATAACCTCGCGTCGCACAAAAACCACATTCTTTTGGCCATTCTTCATAAACTCCACACCTATGGCGCGCTTATGTTTGTCGATCAATACTTTCGTAGCGTGCGCGCGCAGCAGCACATCGAGATTCTTGCGCAAGCGCACGGGTCTTATAAATGCCTTACCGGTGCTGCAACGAGAACCGCGGCGAATGGTACTCTGTGTTAGCATAAAACCAGTCTGTCGTTCGCCGTTGATGTCACGCACCTCATACCCCATCTCCATGCCAGCCTGCAGAAAGGCAATGGAGAGCGGTGTGCGCCAGGGTGACTCCTGTACCGTTAGATAACCGCCTGTTTCGTGATACGGTGTCTTAGCCAGATAGGGATTACGAACGTCCTCGGATTTCAGAAAATATTTAAGTACATCTTCATAGCCCCAACCGGGATTGCCGAGTGATTCCCAGTGGTTATAGTCGTTTTTAGAGCCACGTACATATACCATGGCGTTGAGGACACTGGAGCCACCAAGCACTTTACCACGCGGCCAAAAACAGCGATCACCCTTCATGGCTTGACAGTATTGACGTGTGGGCGAGGGTGTTGTCGTATACTTCCAGTCCAAGTCTGTTAGCTGAAGGTAGCCGGCAAGCGCGGGCACGTCCGAAATCTCTGTCTCATCACCGCCAGCTTCGAGTAATAAAACCGTCCAGTTACGTACCTCCGATAGGCGATTGGCTATGACTGCGCCAGCTGAACCGCCGCCAACAACTATGAAATCATATTGCCGACGCGTCTAGAGAGTGAGATATAAAGTGTGTTTACTATTTATGTTCTATTTTTGCCAAATCAGCGCCTACTCACCATTTGTGGCTCCTGCACTTTGTTCTCCGGATCGATGCTTTGGTAGCGATAGTAGTTCATGCCGATCGCCAGCAGGGGGATCATGCCAAGCAAAGATGTCATTGTGCCAAACGCCATTTTTCAGTAATTGTCAAATCCACGGATCCTCTTTGCACTTTTCTCGCAGCTTCAAATTACTGCTGCTGATACTAAAACCGGTGCTGTGTGGCGCACTGGAAGAAAGCGTCGCCTCGCCCAAAATCTTCGGTTTATAGTTGCGTATACCGCCGGGACGCGCCGATTTGAATTGTGCGCGCGCCTTTTCGTCCTCCTCCAAAATGTCCAAATACGATTTGATATAAAGATGCTTGCAGAGATAATTCTTTTTTTGATCGAGCGAACTGCGCGATTGGTTGGATGAGGATGTGACGGAAGTGGCGCAGCAGCACGCACTAGTCGAGCACAACGACGAGGAAGATGTGGCTGAGGATGAAATGAACGAGGAAGTGCAGTGGCTAGGCGCGTAGTAGACACCGCTATCCGTGGTACTCGAAGAATTTTTGCGTCTATGTTGCGTCGCTCGCCTCTCAATATTATTGTAAGTCGGCTCAGAAGACTTTGAGTTTTGATAATTCGAAGAAGTGGCGCTGGTCGAGATGGAATTACTTGTGCTCGTGCTCGTGCTGGTGCTCTGATCGGTACTGTTACTAACGAGACTAAGTTTCTTTGACACACGAAATTTTTCATAAGTCTGCTTATTCAAGTTGTATTTCTGTCGCAATCGATAAGGTTCTTCATCCGTGGAGCTGGAAGAGGCGGTCGAGATGCTTGAAGTAGGCGCGTAGACGTTTTGGAAATCCTGTGAGTGCCTGGTGTATTTGCCGTTGGACGATATGAGATTGTTGTTGGTAGTTTTAGGATTTTTCGTTATGTCACGTTGTGTTGTTTTCGGTTGGATAGATTTGGTTGGTGGTATTTGATGGTGTGATTTGTGTCGTCTAATAATATTGCATTTCCTTTGCTGTGATATCTCCTGTCCCATATTTTATTTAGGTGGAATATATGGAGCTGAAATGAATAAAAGTGAGAGTAAATAATTGGGATCTAAAAATAATTAAGAGAGAAATGAAAAGACTTTATAATCTGGTCGAAATCGAAACGAAACAAGAACTTCCCTTCGAACAGTGCTTTCTAGGCCAATGAAAGAAAATATGAATATTTACCGCAGCTAGTCTGATAATAAGACCAGCAATAGCATGAAAAGGCTTTCACCTCCGAAACATTCATGTACATCAATCGGTCTATTAACTTGAGATGTATGTGTGGACCAGAAACAGGAGAGAAAGGATCCTTCAAAATGTATTTAAACCAAACTTTGGGCAAAACCATCATTTTTTGGAACGGCCTTGAATTTGTCAAAAAAATATCGACAACCGTGAAATTTCATATTCTGTCTATATATGATAAATTAAACCTTTGTGATGAAAATACTCGAAATGGGACGACTTTAACATACGAAAACAGCTTTTGGTAAAAATTTCGTCACGAAGTATCTAAATCGTGAAATTTAGTATTCTACGCCCACCTAAATGTTGTTATTGAAATCGGAAACTTCATTGTTTAATCCCCTCCAATCAATTTTTCAAATATGAAAAAAATAATTTTTAATTGTGAAATGGAATTTCACTTAGTCCATTTCACTTTATTTTGCTTTATTTTATATATTATTTTTTTGCTTCATTTTATTTCTTTTATTTCTTTTTTATTTAATTTTTCAATTTGATTTATTTTAAATAATTATTTTAATATTTTTCTGTTTCCTTCATTCAAATTTTTTAATATTCTTTTCAAATTTTAATTATAAATTTAACTTAAGCTTGTTTGTTTTATTTGGCTTCTGTTTAACTTTTTTTAATTTTTTTTTTAAATTTTTTTTTTTTATTTTATTTATAGCTTAAAGTTTTAAATGTATATATAATATTTAATACAAATTTTAAGTGTCCTTTATTCAATTTAATTTAATAGTTTTTGTTGAAGACATGGTTGGAGATGACCTCATCATCCTATAAGTACTATTTTAGGAAAATATATTTAAGTCGAAAATGAATTACGGAACAATATAAGAACTAATATTTGAATTAAATGAATTTATAAATAATCCCCTTAATACTTACCCGAATACTTACCTGTATATTTACCTGCATACTCACCTCACTGAATTTACTCCCATTCCAAACATACTTACCAGCAACCCTACTCCGTTCCGTTTTTTCTTATACCTATAACTATGTAAAAGAATAATGCGTATAAATATGCATGTAATGGTAGTTTTAAGTCTGATTTAATTCGCTTGCTAAACCTCGACGGTCGTGTGCCTAAGAATTATATCAATACCAAATAATAAATTTGTTTAATAAATAAATAAATACAGCAAGTAGTTTATATAGTATTAAATTTTTCTTAATTTTATTTAACCTCAGTTTACTTTATTTTATTTAATTTTGTTTCCTTATTTTATTTCTAATATTTTTGTTTATTAAAAAACTATTTATTTCTTATTTTTCTTTTTAAAATTTTGTTTTTATTTTATTTTACATGAAATTAGTTTTTATTTTTAATTATATATTTTATTTTAATTTAATTGTTTTATTTTTCTTATTATTGTATTTATATATTTAGTTCGAATTATAATTCTCCTTTATTCAATTTAATTTAACTTAATTTTATTTAATTTTAGTTTACTTTGTTTTACTTCATTTTATTTTATTTTTAATTAAAGTTATTTTGTTTTGTTTCCTTTTTAGTTTATATAAGTTAATATATTTAAATTTATTACTTTTTTTTTATTTCATTTTATTTTATTTTTTTTCTAAAATAATTATCTTATGCATTTATTATACATTACTATATCTGTTTATTTTCTATATTATTTTTTCATGTTTCATGTTTAGTTTATTTATTGTATTTGTTTTCTTTAATTTTATTTTCTTTTATTTTTTTATTTTTATATTTCCTTTAGTTTTATTCATGTGCTTTTATTCTGCTTCTTTTATTTTGTTAAATTTTTCCATATTTTCTTGATTTTTTGGTTTCATTTCATTTCGTCTATGTGATTTTATCATTTTTTCTTTTTTTTACCTTAATCTGTTTATTTTCTTTAAGATTACTTTCTTTTCTTTTATTCATTCCATAATTTTCATTTGTTTAGTTTTTTCCCTTTGTTTAATTTTATTTCAGTTTTCATTATTTTATTTTTATTTTACTAATCGATTATGAAGTGGGAGAAAACGCAATATCTCGCTTAGCCCTCATAGCGATATGAATTTTTAATCGAATAACAGCATTTTCGCTATAATAACTTATAAAAATATACATTTCCGTGAATTCTTAAAAAAATTTTCGAATACCAAATTACGAAATGCCAAACATTTTTCTTGAAATCGCGTGCATGAAGCGTATCAAAATCAATTTCATATAGCGCCAGCGCTGAGTCAAAGACAAAAGTGCTGACTTCCCCATGTAATTAATGAATATTTAAATATGTAAGTATGTGTAAATAAGAAAAAGGTGCACGCCGACATAACCGAGAAGCGTATACAAATGATTTTGCTAATGCGAAGCAAAAAAAAAAAAAAAATTGCATGAACGAAATCAATTTGAATTTCATTAAAACGCGACCACTTACAAATGTACAATGTAAACATATGTATGCACAACCTGCAATGTAGGCCTCTTACGTAATATGTACATACACGTATGTGGGCAGTGAAATTATTTCAGACACACATATTTCCTCAATAGATACGCGAGAAATGGGCCAAGTAAAATAGGTTTTTGCTTTTTCTCATATTTTTCTTGTGTACGTTTGGACAATGGATGTCGATATGTTAAGATGTTGTTTGCAGTTTGTCAACACACTTAGCGGTAACAGCGTCAGCAGAGCTGTTGTGGTTGGTGATAATATAAATGATGGGTCTACATTGAAAAAATAAAAAATAAATTATACTGAGAAAAACAGCAACAAAAGCGCTATTTCTCAATCGTATATTAATTTCTGCAATCAGCAGCTTTTTTCGGTTTTATTATTTGTTTACTCTTCGAAGCGATCAGCAACACAATGAAATCACACATGCACACCACTAAGTCTATAATAATAACAACAATAATAGTTGTTATTTAGTTTGCTTGTAGCAAAAGCTGCTCACACTAACGGCGGGAAAAAATTAGCGTTATCGATTGCTTCATTTGCACACGCGCATGAGCTTCACCCTACCTCAGCAGCCGAGCAGTGTTTAACGCTGTGAAGCACCGGATGATGGTAAACAAAAGACTTGAGCAACGAACCAGCTGCAATCCGGTGCGCACATGTCTTCTTTCAATCATTGCATTTGAAATTTCAGACTCGTTTGCCCAATGATTGGACTTTATTTTATTTTCGTCTTTAGTTTTTTTATTTATATTTTATTTTATTTATAATTGCTTGAAATATATTTTCTAAATTTATTTTATTTATTTATATAAGTTTAACTTTTTTGTTTTATTTTAGTTTAAATTTTTTATTTTATTGTTCTTCTGCTTATTCTTTTCTTTTAGTTAAATTAATTTTAGGTTATTTTACTAAATGCTAATTTAATTAATCATTTTATTGTGTTTTCTATTTTTGTGTTTTATACCTTATTTTATTTTGTTTGTTTTCCACTTAATTAATTTTTTATCCATTAATTTTGTGTTATCTTATTCTGTTCTATTTGACATATTTTTATTATTGTTTTAAAAAAACTTTAATTTTATTTTCAAAGAAATCAATTTTTTTTCTTATTTTTTTGATTGAAATTTAATTAATATATTATATATTGTCTAGTAGTTTATTTGATTTATTTATCTTATGTTTCATTGTTTTAATTTTTATATTAATTATTTTATTTACAGTTTTTAGTCTTATATTTTTATATTGCAGTCGAGTTTTGATGTGTCCTTCATTCTATTTAGTTTAACCTTATTTTTCTTATTTTATCTATTTTACTTTTTTTATTTATTTTTATTTATTATTATTACTCAAGTTTATTTATTTTATTTTATTTTAAAAATAAATATTTTAATTTACTTATCTAATTGATTTTCCTTATTATTTTATGTTTCATGTTTTGTCTGTTTGTTTAATTTTTTTTCTTTTATTTTAATTCTAAATTTTTTTTAAAAGATATTAATAATTCTTACTTTTTTGTTAAATACGTTTAATTTTATTTATTTATTATGCTTATCTTATTTATTTTATTTTAGTTTTTTTTTTTTACTTTATTCCATTTTTTGTTTACTAATCCTTCTTCTTCACTGGCGTAGACACCGCTTACGCGACTATAGCCAAATTTATAACATTGCGTGCCTTGGCGTGCACCTTTTATTCACTTATTTTTTTCGCTCTTTGCCGCCATTTGCAGATGCCAAGTTCAGGCGGATCCTTCTCAACCTGATATTTCCAACAGAGTGGAGGTCTTACTCTGCTTTCGCCGACAACTAATTAAATTTACTTAATGATAATAATTGTTGTTATTGTTTTGTTTTTATGTATGTGTATTCAGTTTATTTGGCTATCTAGATTAATTGCATATAACTTACTAATTTTCACATTTTGTTGGACTCTTTTATATTCTTTTTTTTTTCATTTCATATTTATCTATCATTTTATTTATTTTAATTTTTTATTGTATTTCGTTTTATTTTGTGTACAATGCTTAGGTTAATTACGAACCAGTATCGCTGATTAAAGCCTTGAAAGAGCTTAAGTGTGGCCACAGTATTTGAGAGAGCTGATGACAATCATTTAGAAGCCATGAGTTGCATAATCAAAGGTCTCCAGCTGATTCCAGATATCAAAATTATCATTTGGTCACTCCCTAATTTATCTCTTCCTCAGTTGTAAAATTTCCTTTCATTTTCATTGCCGCAAACTTTTTTTTTGATTTTTCTCTTTTTTTGCGCGGTTATTATTTATTTATATTACTATTATTTTACTTGCACCATTGAAATATTTTAATATAAATATAATAATAAAAATAATAAATAAGCAT